TACTACTTATTTTATACTGTCATGTTTCATCCTGCTGCTTTTACTGGGTTGCCCAGTTGTTCCAGAACAATACCGTGAATCTCCTGATTCTGCACTGAATGTTTTCTGACTGAGCAGTGAGCCCTTACGCCACGCTGCTTCAGCTGCCCAAGTTGTAATGGCGGTTGTGCTTGTCCAATGGAGAGAGATGAGATCCTCCAGATCATGACTCGGTGTAGTGGGATGGCATAGCCTGAATTAGGCTGCTGTTCTGCCTCACTTTCCAGAGCATCGTCTTTCTCTCCATTAAGTACAGAAAGAACCTTAGAGGTGGAAGCTAGGTGATGTATTCCCTTTGATGTCTGTCTGCAACTTTCATTAATGCATAAAACACCCCTGTGCTGCAAGGCCAGTCGTGAAAAGAAGACCAAAGCAACACGTAAAGGATCAAAAATGTGAAGCAAATGAGCAGATTGGGACATTATCCTGAAAAAAATCTGAAATACCCTTGGTCGTACCCTCACCATCAATAGCCAGCTTGCAGTGCACCATCCTGGCAGAGCAAAGGTTGCTCAGACTAACAGATCCTGGGAGGAGTGGAAAGGGAACCATCAGGTAGAAGTCAGGAAACTGTTGTAGCCTTGGTACACTGAACATTTAAAAGGTCATTAGAGGTCTAAGTTTCATGTTGGAATCGAAATTTCTTATTGGAAATGCAGAGTATGTACAGCCTGAACACTGGTCAAGGGAGCCTCAAGAGAAGGTGAAACTGGGACAATGGAATAGGCTTTAAGTACCAGATGGACAATCCAGACTCATAGAAATACATAAATACATCTGGCAGCTACGAGTGAAAGTAGAAATAAGTCAGTGGTTCCTCAGCAAGAGCATCATTAATTATTTGGATACATTATATAAGCAGGTTGTACAGGCAGTGTTTCTTGAAGCCTTTAAGAAAAGACAGTATTTATCTAAAGAAGGTTCTAAGGCATAGTCCAGTGAAACTTCTAAAGTCTCATGCCTAGAAAATCAGAGAAATTCATCATGTCACAACATATGGCCTTAAAGTCTACAAGAACAATATTTTTGTCAGTTGTTGGAATATTATCTTTAATGTTGTTTATACTTTTGACTTTACTATTTGAACTTAGGCCGTGCATGCAAATGTCAGTGCTCTGAGCAACTTTCCTGATTGTTTGTTTGAAGAGACACTGTCCCACGCTTGGCTTTGAAACTTGGCAGGCGTGTCTGATCTGGGAGAGGGCTTGGATGTAGAGTTTTGGTGATGAAATCCAGCTGATGTTCAAAGGGAAAGTACTCCCAGAACGCTCTTAGGAGGCCGCTGTTAAAAAAAACCCCACACGTGAATATTGCTAAGAAAACAATGAAAGTCTCATGTTCTAAATTTACATGTCTTTTCCTCTTGTGCAAGTAAGTAACACAGGCAAGATCAGAAGTATGGACTTCCACAGGAGTATTTGTCAGCTTTCTCTCCGCTATCTTCCTGATGCACACATGCCTGAGAAGGTAAATCAGGCCTATCTGTATTCCTGAGAAGTCTGGACGTGACATCCTTGCTGGTGCAAAACTGCTGACGAGTTTAGAACTGAATCTTTAACTGACCTTGCTGAAAGCTACATTCACATCATGTCTGCATCAGAAAGTGAATCCTTTCATTGAGTCATTTGGTCCTGTTACCCCACTGCGTATTTTGGAGATAGATTCCTTATTTTGAATGATTTTTGGGCCCATGGCTGTCTTCATCTCTTTCTGTCATGGTTGTCACTGGGACTTTGGAGGAGTCTACAGGTCTGCGGGAAATAGTGAACCCACACTGCCCTGGCTGCGTCCTTCCTCTTGCAAACACGGAGCAGAGGTGTTCGCTGGGAGCAGGGCAGGTAGTCAGGCTGTCTGCTGGATGGAGGAGATGTCTGCTTGATATGTGGTCAGGGTCCATGGGAGAGTCTGCTGCTCTTCTGTGGGGAGTGCATCTATAATATTAAATACAATTAAATAGCCTGCTAAGGCTTCCATAGTAGGGAGGGACAAAGATAAGTACAGGCAATCTGGCTGGAGAGCTGCTCAGTGTTCACCAGGACTTCTTGTGCTAGAATGCCTGCAGGTTGGGTGGGAGGTGGATCTCTCCAGTGTGCAGCAGAGCCTTGCTTGCCTTTGGTCGTGAGCACTGATATTTTCTGTATGCAGCTGCTCCTTTCTGTGGTGGTAAACGTTCTGATTATTCAAAAGGTTGATACAGAAAAATGTTTCTTTGCAGCTTGCTCTAGATTGTTAAATTTTTAATTTTTTTCACATTTCTGGCTCATACTAAGTGGAAGGAGTAGAAGCGATGTATTACATACAAAATGACAAACACTGAGGAGAGAGAGCCCAATAAAATCATTCATTTACTTTGGCTAAAATGGGAATGCTCACCTGATTATTGGTGTGTCGAAAGGTCACAAGGGGTATGCGTAGAGAAGAGCTTCTTTTTGCCAGGTTCTCTTGTTCCTTTAATAAATGCCCAGTTGCAACAAAAGCTGTAGTCCTTAGGGGTAAAATGAGGATATGTAGATATGTCATAATTTGATCATATGATGTCACCAGTATGATATAACACACAATGGGATGGGTGTGGTGGTAATTAAAATATTTCTTTTTCTAATGCTATTTTTGTATGCTTTCTTTAGCTACCCTATTTCATTATTGCAGTTAGTTTAACATATTTGGGTTTTTTTAATGCACTAATTCTCAATAATGTAGTTTAATTCTTTCATTATTCAGAGGTTTTATCAGCTCCTGAGGTTCTTCCAGGTAGAATCTCTATAGCTTTGGGAGTTATTTGTACATCAGGTGTCCCATATAAAACATCTGTAAGATCTGCAGAACCTGTGCAGTTATGGCAGTGTTGGAGAGATGAAATAAAGTTTCTTGTCTTTTTTAAAATAAAAAACCCACAAAGTTTTGAAAACAGTATGACACAGAGAAACATCTAAGTGGAAAGGTCACAAAAGTAAACTGCATGAACCTTCACTTTTTTTCTGAAAATAAATGTCTGTGTGCTTCTGAAGAGAAGATACTTTGGGCATAGCTAAAGGAGCTGCTTAAATGCAGTTCAGAAGCTCACTTGGACATGCTGATCCACTGCCCTGTAGGTAAGCATTCATTCATCCCGCTGAAGAGAGTCTGAACCCTGGAGAAAAGGAAATGGGTGCTGATCTGGGAGGAAATTGCCACCTTGTCCCAAATCTGTGTTGAGTTATATTGTGATATTGATGGGAATGGAAAGCGGAAAAAGTAAACTAGAAGCGTGTGGGCATCAATCCTGCTTTAGTCAGGATGAATGTGAGGAGGGTTTTTTTTTTCCTGTTACTTTTCTAGTGGATAATTCTGAGTTGCAGAAGGCAGCAGCAAGATGGCAGAAGGAGATGCATGGAGGCATAATTGAGCTGATTAGAAAGAATGAAATATGAGTAAACTGGATTAAGTGCTTTGCACTATTACTGCCCTTTGCGCCTTGGGAGGCAATTGTGGCCATAGGCTGGGCTGCCTCCATGGCTTGGCATCATGTTGGGCAGTTTGCAGAAGCCCCGCAGAATCACCTTAGGCTGCTGGCTGCCCTTGTATGCTAATGCATATGGACACATTCGATGGTCAGCACCTGTAGGTACCTTGCTCAGCATCAGAGGCAAGACATGGGAATTGAGAAGCAAAACATTGGAACAAAGAGGAGAGGGAAGAGCAACTGGCCAGGCACAAAGAAACACTGGTTCACATGAAAGGATGAGGTTATTTTACTGTACTGAGGGAGCGGTAGTTAACAAGAGCAAAAGCTGCTCTTTCCTGCTGCGCTGAAGCGAGGAGAGAGGGTGTCAGATAGCTATGGGATACCCCTTTTGCCTCATAAATGCACAGTCATATACTGACTTTTTAAACAATCTGTCTCTCACTGAGAGCTTTGCATGGATCAGACTTGACCTAAATTATGAACAGGGTGAAAGTGTTAAGTGCAATATGGTCATGCAAATTATTTGGCTCATTTGCAGGTACTTCCTTTGAGTTTCATGTTAGGTAAAGATAACGCACTGGGAGCAGAGTGCAATTGCATAATTAAGATGGCAGCTTTCATTTTGTCTTAGGAAAGAACAATTACATTTCTCCAGGAGAGCAAATATTCAAGGCTTCCTAGTGTCAGAGAAGCCTGTTTGGTTTTGTTATGTGACTGTAAAACCACCATGCCTTTTCAGGGTGCTGTGATTACTCCAAGATTACAGGAGATGTGAATAGATGAAGGGGGTGTTTGATAGGTGGATTTCACCTGGACTCAGACTTCTTGCTTTGCATTTAATTGTTAAGAGCTGGAGTGTTTGCATTCGCGCAGGTCAGGAACCTGGGTCTGTTCCCGAGGTGGCTGCTGGTGCCATGAAGCGCTGGTGTGCCCTCAGGGGAACTGGGTGTTAAACAAAAGCAGTCGGTGCATAACACACCCTCTGCAGAACCAGGTCCCTCACAGACACTTGTCAAGAATGGAAAAGCTCTGTGATCACGGTTGCTTTAAAAGGAAAAATGATTTTGAGAAACCTTTATTAATTCCAGTTAACTGAAAATATTTGTGCATATAGGCTGTAGATCATTCTCTTGTTGTTCAGATACGAACATATTTTGAAGGAGAGCATGTGGCCTATGCTTGTTTTTCATCTGGTCTTCATGCTGTAATGTTACCTAACGTGTCAGAAGAATTTATCTTAGATCTGAGTTTTCATTCTGTAGGCCCTGATTTGGTATTTTGTCAGACTTAGTGAAGCAAGCACTTGGCATTTTAGTCTGCTGTAAGATATTTAAGACTTCTTCTCAAAATGGGAGAAACTAATAGCCTCTCACTGGGTTTCAGAGCCAAGGTTGTGCATATCAGATAACTGACTGTAAGGGGCTGTAGGTCAAACACCTTTTTTTTTTCTTTTTATGCTGCTGATGTTTATGTACTTCTTAGTTAGAAATTTTGATGTTTTGCCTTTTCTCTTCAGATGACACTGGCTGTCCTAGTAGCCAGTCAGTCTCTCCAGTTAAGACTCCTTCTGATGCTGGAAACAGTCCAATCAGTTTTTGCACTGGTAGCGATGGAGACTTCTCCAGGAAGAAATTCAGTCCAGGGACAATGAGCGAAGGGAACCCGCAGCTGGCTCGATATAAGAAGGAGACAAAGACAAGCCTTGTAAAGCCTGGTGAGTATAGTACAGTTCCTTTCATTTCTTTAATTACACTTCCTAACTGACTAGCTAATACATATACAGGTGTCTACATACATTGTGCTGTGCTGCCTCTGATACCACTAATGCTGATGTCAAATATAAAAAATAGTTGGGTTCTTTCTGTCTAGCCACTTACAAGACTGGAAGACACTGTCAGTATTAGCCTTTTCCTGGAAATATAATTAATTGACATCTTCACTTTCTTTTATGAGGCTTGATGGTGATGTCAAATAACAACTGAAATGGATTTTGTCCTATTTCCTGGTAATTGCACGCATATTTCACTGGCCAAAGATAAATGACTCTTGCTATCAACGCAAAGAATTACAACCTTCTGATGTTATTAGATTTACTGCTGGATCCTGCCTAAAGTTTATGCTGCCAGGCTGTGATAGCTCTGGGGATACAACATGTCAAGCCAAGGCGAGATAACGGGCAGCTTACGTGGGGGAGTTAGGCAGATGTAGATCCATACTGTACTGGCTGAATTCAGAGCGTGTCTCCTGTTGCCTCAGGCTTATGGGCCACCTCAGACCACCAGCTAAATCACACATCCAAGACTAAATAACCTGGTGTGTCATTGGCTGCTGTAATTTTAATGAGCAGATAAACAGTATTTTTGTGATTCATGTGCAGGCTGCTTGTGCTGTTATTTAATTAATCATGGAGACAGAGAGGGTTTTGACCCTGTACAGAGTCAGCTGCAGAACTGACATGGTTTATAAGCTCAGGTAGCTTCCAGCTATAGTGTTTCCAGAGTCATTTTACCTCTGGAAGCAATTTAGATACTTTCATGAGGAGCCAGTTCAGATTTACCAGCACTATGTTTAATCCAGAAACAGTAGAGAATCTACTGCAAAAACTCCTCACTGGCTTGCTCATTGAAAGGGCTGATTAAATCTGACTCAGTGCTATCCCTGCAAGTTCTTCAGTTCATTTTACTTGACTGTTCCTAGTGCCTTGCATAATAGATGATAGATAATATTTTTTTAAGGTTTGTTTTCTATTCCATTAAAATAAATTAATCTAATGCAGGCAGAACACAGTGAATATGGTGTATGTGACAGTCAAATCTTCAGCCATGGCTACCACAACCATTTTGTTTGTAAATACGGGTGTAGCTTAGTGACATATGCATAAAAGTTTTTGGAAGTTTTTTTCCTGCT